ATAATTTTTTTTTTTTTTTATGTATATAAAAGTAGAATGCAAATTCCAAATTATTTCAATGTTGCTATTGTTTTTTGACTGCATATGCAAATTAGTATTAATATAATAATGAACAACTTTAAGGACACATGGCCCAATGTATAAAAGTGTTGATTGAATCCAGTGATTTGGCCCAAAATAGCTGTGAGTTCAATATCTGGTTACAGCTGAGGTGAACAAAAAGCTTGGAGAGTTGAGTTAAAGGGCAATAACTGATACTGAGACACATTGAAGACGCATGGCATGTGAAAGTAGAACAATCTACCTCAGTGGATGAAATAAAGGGATCAGTTCAAAATTCCAATCACCTGGAGTAGGCTGGAGTAGACAACAGCCAAAATGTTGTGAATGTGGCAACGAAGATGTGGACAACAGTCTGAACAATGTAAATAATATCTGATTCAATTTTTTCATTATAGAATAAAGACACATAGACATGTTGAAATTAAATGGCAAAAAGGAAAAAGTCCTGTGATTCCTTTTAAGTGGACATAACCCTTATTCATCTGCTTGTAAAATGACTGTTGATACAAATTGTTTAAAGATATGTATCGATTAAAATTAGTTTAATCTCTAATAGCTGACATGTTCTTTTACTTATGCCAACTTTATGGATGTAAAAGTGAACACAAGAATATTCATGAATATTTAACAGAAAACTACTCAGATCTATTTGAATGTCTCTTACTTGAAGAGTATAACATTTCTAATAACTTAATAACTATATATAACTATATGAAATTTTGCAGATTAATAATTTCATATGTTTTTGATGTAATGGAATAACCTGTCACCCCCATGAGTGACTACATTATAGATAGGTAGTAACTACCTATAAGTATCTGTAAGTCAACAGATTACAGAGACTAGCTGGGATCTGTTGAGTATGACCTTCCAATAGTAGCACTCACTACTGGATTGACTTGCAACAACCTATTACCTTTATTCTTATTGTACTGGTTTTTTACAATAAATCTTTACTTCTTTTATCCACCTTGTTTTTCAAGTATATATTCATTTTAGCATAGAATATAAGTTTTAAATGTTGTGTAAATTGTATCTTTGCTTCATAGAATATAAATTAATTACATTTTAAGTTGGTATCCACTCAGTAGGGATATTGTATCTTAATAACTTTCAATAAAAATTTTTTTGTTTATTTTGTCAGAAACTGATGAATTAATAGAATGTTTTAATGATGTCTGCTATAATTAGATTCTGTCGAAGTTGCTCAATTTACCAAATCTTAATTTACATAGACTTTAAAGGTTTTTCTGCAGGCACTACAATGCAATGCAATTGCCAAATTATTTAAAAATTGCCATTGTTATTTATAGCATGAACAAAGTTTTAATATAATGAACAATTTTGCTGAAATGTGATATCTGGTCCATTTTCTTTTATGAAGAAGTGGAGGCATGTTGAAATTAACTGTCAAAAAAAGGTCATGTAATTCAGTTTGTAAAGTTCCAGCTGATGTCTAGAAATTAGAAATTCCCAAATCCTTAAATGGAAAGACTGAAGTTTTTTGCTTTTGCCTTTTTTTGGTTTATTTTTGGGTTTTTTGTTTGCTTTTTTAGCTTTTTTGTTTGCCTTTTTTTTTTTTTTTTTTGCTTTTTTGTATTTTTTGCTTTTTTGTTTTTTTTTTTTGCTTTTTGTTTTTTGTTTGTTTGTTTTTTTTTTTTGGCTTTTTTGTTTGTTTTTTGTTTTTTTGTTTGTTTTTTGTTTTTTTGGCTTTTTTGTTTGTTTTTTGTTTTTTTGGCTTTTTTGTTTGTTTTTTGTTTTTTTGGCTTTTTTTTTTGTTTTTTGTTTGTTTTTTTGGCTTTTTTGGCTTTTTTGTTTGTTTTTTTGGCTTTTTTGGTTTTTTTGTTTGTTTTTTTTTTTGTTTTTTTGGCTTTTTTGTTTGTTTTTTTTTTTTCTTTTTTTTTTGGCTTCTTTTTTTCATTTTTGTTTTTTTTGGTTATTTGCTCTTTTTTCTTTTTTATCATAAGGCTTATTATTGTAACTCCATCTATAAGGTTCAAGAAAAGTTACAATTAAAAGTTGTGTAAGTTTAAAGTCACAGCCATTACTGAAAGCAAATGAAATCTGTTGACTATTTTCAAAGATACGGAGAAGATTGTTTTTGTGTTTATAAGTATGTCGTTCAGATGTTTTAAGTTATGGGACTCCTCACCATTATACAAATTTCAGCTGCTTGAATTGAATTTCTAATTTTTCCTAAAGAAAAAGAAAGAAAGATTTAAAGGAAAGTGGAAACAGAAAAGAAGATCTAAGTACAGTCTTGTAGATATGTTGTTGATATCAAGGCAATAGTAACCCCAACCCAGTGAAGATGACAAACAGCTGTATAGACATTTTAAGACTAAGGGATCTTTTAGAAAAAAAAAAATGGCTCTTTTTTTTTTTTCTCCTCTCTCTCCACTTAATTTTCTATAACAGGAAGGGTTAAAGATGATTTTCTTAGATTTTTGAGTGAGTTCGCTGCTACAGGCACAGGTGTATGCCTTGAGTCAGACATGTGTCCTATTATAATAAAACTGTATCTAGTTTCTGACATGTCTTCTACAGATTCAGTAACGTTATTTATCTTTTGTTTTTATACTCTTAACTCCTACTTAAATGTTGCCTGAGATTTGTAGATCAATTTTTGTTGATGTATATTATTTCATTTGCCTTTACATTTTCTTTTTTTTTCATCAATTGCCTGAATGTGCACAACCAGTTAATTTCATTGGCAAAAAATTGGTTCAATGTTTTTGAATCCAGATGTGACACTGACGTTACCAATAATGAATGACACAAAATGGCAATTTTTATTTATTTTTATATACAAGCTACTTGTGTTTTACATGCATTTTTTTTTATCTTAAAAATACATCCATGTCTTTGTCATATGTTTCATGTGAACTATTGGCTTAACCTTGTTATAAGTTTTCATTATGGCAGTTCTTACACATCATGTCTTTCTCTGCATTTCTTTATCAGACTTCCTTCTTTCAATGATATTTTTTAAATTTAACAAATTTATTTTTTCAATCAGTTCACCCCAAGCAATACAATAATTCTACTAAGATGCAAGGAGTTACTTCAAGTGAAAGAGAATGAAAAGACTTCAGAAGGAAGTGGAAACCCAATCCTAAACAGGAAACAAGGGATAAACCTCGACTCCTGTTCAAAAGGCTGAAAGGCAGTGTGAACCAGATGATAGGCAAACATATACGCCTAGAAAAAATATAAATAGTAAATAAAATTTCATAGTTAAGGCAAAGAGGTTAGAAGTATAGAGTTGAAGTAGACTTTAGAAGGAACTGGAAACACAATCCTAAATGGGAGAAACAAAGGATAAACCTCTACTCCTGTTCAAAAGATAGGAATAGTGTGAACTTATCTACTTAAATACTTAAAAGGTATTATTAAATTTCAAAAGTCTGAAACCAGTGTAATAAAGTAATCTGGAGTAAGCTCCCTTGTTTTGTGATTACGTCCCTTTGGAGAACACTTTAGTTTGTAGTGGACTATAAATAGTCACTATGCATGTATCAATTATTCTAAGCAGAATAAAATGTCCTTAAGCCTTCTTTTGCTCTCTTTTGTTATTACAGCCAGGTAAAATTTAGCATTATAGTAGCAGTCAATTTTTTTGTAGTTGGTGTTCACTTGTGAGAGAATCAATTTCAGTCTTTCTCAGTTCTTTGATGTTCACTTTGGTAACAATAAATCTCTTCTTGTTCTCTACTCAATCCGTCATGCTTTTATCAATGCATAAAACCCTCAATCGACGAGGCAACAATTGTATGATCTGAAACCATTCTTCCATCAGTAATGTGATTTTTATATTCTTTCCGATGGTTTGAAATTTGCATGTTACCAGCAAAATCTTGTATTCGCAAGAATGTTAAGTTCTTAAATATTCACCTTATGAGCGGCCATCTTAATCTCTTTTTTTTTTTCTTTTTCTCTCTCTGAATTTCTTTACATTCAGTGCATATGCAGAGTCTTTGCCTTGGCAGTATGTCATTTTTTTTATTTATTTGTTTTTCCTTCAAATCTCCAACCACAATTTTTTATTAGAGGTAGAATATTTTTCTTGTCAGATTTTAATGATTCATAGAAATGATGAAATTATGGTACTTTTTTATGAACAGTTAGCTTTCATGTTCATTGAAACAGTCAAGTTGAAGTGAAATCTTACTTATTATAAAACGCAGATTGTGTGTGTGTGTCTGTACGTTTATATATTGGATCGGATTTCCTACATTTTTCAACCGATTTCAACAAAACTTCACAGGATCATTTAAAATTACCTTTGCGGTGGTTCTGACAGCACAAAAAAATTGGAAAAACACAATTGTTTTTGCATGAAATCAATTTGAAAACACGATTAAGAGGCATTAATGAAAGGGGGACAACTCATATCGAGTTATACTTATTAATATCGAGTTATTGAGTTATACTTATTATAAAACCGAGGTTGTTTGTGTGTGTGTGTGTGTGTTCATTTATATATGGAATCTGATTTCCTACATTTTTCAACCGATTTCAACAAAACTTCACTTTTTTTTTTGGCAGGTAGTGTTTCTTATTGTCTTGCACACTTTTTTCTTTATTTTTACATTCAGAATGCTTTAAAAATCTCATTTACAAGACAATTGTTTATAATAAAATTCTATTCAATCGATAGACGCATAACGATTGAAAACAATGTTTTTGTTTTTCGTAAAAAAAAAGAAAAAAAAAAAAACTAATTAAGACACGCGTGTCCGTCAACCTTAAACAATAATCTTTGTCAATTTTATTTTTCAGTCTTTATGATGGTCATTACTTGATCTATCTCTTTTTGTTACATCCCCGGGCAACGCCGGGCTCTACTGCTAGTAGTTTATATTTTCTTGTTTTTCACTTCAGCTTCATTGAACACTCAAATACATCATATGGCTTACAACTATATTACGCTGACTATCGGTTTCCGTACGATCACTGAAGTTAAGCAGCATCAAGCCTGGTCAGTACCTAGATGGGTAACTGCTTCAGAATACTAGGTGCTGTAAGCTTGGATGTTTAGGGGGTTTAATGAATAATGGCATGCAATTTTTATTCAGAGAATCAAGTACCAATTCCAGTTGGGTTCATTATATTTGCTTATACGCAAATACACTTGGGAAAGATATGAATTCACCTCTTCTCCTATCTATGGGTTAATTATTAAGACTTGTATCTATAAAACCATTATCTCAAATAAATAAAATTGTGTACAAAATATTTAGTTTTCAAAATTAAATGACCATTAGAGGTTGATATGTCGCTAAACAACCAGCCAACCAAGTACAAAAGGATTTTGTGTCATTTAGTTCTTTTTAACAGTAATGTTCACCCCGTATAAGGCCCAAGAGCCACTCGAGGTAAAAGGTTAGAGTAAGAGACACAGTTTATGAGCATATATTGGAAAGATAAGTTGACCCTAGACTTGAACAGGTTAAGATCGTAGTAATCAGGGAAATATCCTCTTGGGACTTGGTTCTTTTACTTGCTAATTGTTATGCAGGGTGTGGTGGGTAAATTGTCTAAATTACGCAAAAATGAAAATAACACTGACATCTCATTTTAACAGATATATTTACCAAAATTGCACAAAAATATCTTGAAATGCTAAAGAGTAAATTTATTCAATAAAGTTGTCAATTGCTTCAACCATGACCTCCAGATGATTTTGGAATCTCCTGCAATTCTTCTGAACAGTTGCCTTGTTTAAGTTGGTGAATGATGCCATAATCCTTGCCTTCAGTTCATCTTTAGTGTTACAAGGAGTTTTGTTGGTTTCTTGCTCAACTGCATCCCACACATAATAATCAAAGGGGTTGCAGTCTGAGGAGTTAGGTGGCCAGATATAAGGGCTGCTGTGGTCACAGAAAATGTCTAACAGCCATGACTGGGTTCTCCTTTTTGTGTGGCATGGTGCAGAGTCCTGTTGCCAGACATAGGGTCTTCCAGCAGCCATCCTCTTGACAGCAACACTACCTCCTTAAGGCACTTGATGTAGGCTTTCAGGTTAGTTTGTAAGGCCCTGTGGGAAGATGAATGGAAGCATAATGTTGCAGGCACTAGTGATCCTTCCAACACCTTAGTAACCAACTCAAAATAAACTCTTCTCCAATACTTGAATCTGTTCTCTGAAAAACTCCTACCTGGTTAATAAAACAGTCCACTGTAATATTAAGGCTGGCAAAACACTCCAAAATTGAAACTGATACTTTATTCATGGAAGAAAATCATAATATCCTACAAAAACATAGAAATTGTAAGCATACATACGGTGGCTCCAAAAATATTGATAGTTTGATGTTCAGCTGTACTGAATGAAACCATTGATCAAAAGCACCTAGCTGATGAATGCTCAATTTTTAGTGCAGAAGCTATGGCAATAGTTTTAGCTTTGAATATTATCACAAATGGTGAGTTAGACAGATTCATTATATTCTCAGACTCCCTATCTGTCCTTACATCACTGATGGATAAAAATCTGACCAACCCTATTAATGTCAAACTTTTAAACAAAATCAATTTAATTTGTAATCAAAAATACATTATCTTCTGCTGGATCCCTAGTTATATAGGACTCCAGGGAAATCGAAAGGCAGATGAGGCAGCTAAAGAATCACTAAAAATGAATATATCAAAGACAAAAGTTTCTCATACAGACTTCAAAACGGTAATTATTACATATATCTTAAATAAGTGGCAAGAGTTTTTTTTTTTAAATACTCACTCAAATAATAAATTGCACAAAATCAAACTTGGGATAAGACATCATAACACTGAAATTTCCTTAAGAGAAGTATTTCTCTTAACAAGAATCAGAATTGGTCATACTAATTCACGTTCTTTTCTCCTAAAAGACGAGCATCCACCTAAATGCATAGTATGCTAGGAGACATACACTGTAAGAAGTTTTTATGATGGACTGTGCTGAATTTGGCCCTATCTGTAACTGCCTTTTATAAAGTGAATGGCCTTAAAGATCTTTTTAAAAATGTTACTGAAGAAACCATCATTCTGAACCCCCAATCAAACTGGTAAAATGACTTTACCTAAGGAAAAGTAAATTATGCACCAAAATTTAATCCAAACAACTTCATCTTCAGATAATCTGTACAATTAACTTCCTATTATATTTCACAAATTTTAAAACTTAAAACTTTGTAAGATATTATTGAATAGAAATCTGTTTTATTTTTTTTTCAGCATTAAATGACCCAAGTGGGTTGATGTGCTGGAAAAATAAACAAACCAAAACATGGACTGAATAAGACTGAAATAGAAATGCTATTTGGCTAACTTCCCACTCCTTTTCTACTAATGGGAAATTTTAATGCACACAACAAAATGTGGGGCCATAGAACCCCCAATCAAACTGGTAAAATCATAGAATCTCTAGTAGAATTTTTTGATATATGTATCTTTGATAACCAAATGCACACATACCTACATCCAGGTACCAGGTCAACATCAGTCATCATCCTAACCACATACTACTCATCAATTTTTATGGACTTTCAATGGAAAATTCATAAAGATCAATGCAGTAGTGACTATTCACTTATCTTTCTAAATATAAACAAGCTTGTGACAGAAGAAAAGAATTTAAAATGGTAACTACATAAAGCTAATTAGGTAATCTTCAATGAACCAGAACCAATACTCTCCTTTACAAACATACTAACAGAAATAGCAAGACAGACAATACCCAAATCTTCCTTTAAACAGGGACTGTCCTGAATTTGGTCCTATCCGTAAACACCTTTATAAGGTGAATAGCCTTAAAGATCTTTTTTAAAATGTTAGTGAAGAAACCATTCTGACTTTACCTGAGGAAAAGTAAATTATGCACCAAAATTTAATCCAAACAACTTCATCTTCAGATGATCTATACAATTAACTTCCTATTATATTTCACAGTATTTCACTTTGTAAGATATTGAATAGAAATCCATTTTTCAACATTAAATGACCCAAGTGGGTTGATGTGCTGGTAAAATAAACAAACCAAATCAAACTACCTCCCCAAGTCACTTGATGTAGGTCTCTGTGTTGAGTCTTTTTCTTAGCAGAATGATCAGTGGGTTTTCCAAGCTACTGTATTTTCATAATCACCATTAGACTTATCCAGCTCTTTCCAAATGCTTTGCATTGGCCTTGGATTGACACCCAAACATTCTGAAATGTTCTTGTTGGAGCTTCTGGCATGAATGCCAAGCAGTACAGCATGTCGTTTCTAACTCTCTAGCAGAGTGAATTGCATCATGATGCTCTTCTTCACACAGATGGTACCCAACTGACTTTGCTCTACTGTGCAGTTGACAAAATCAAAAAGGAGCAATGTGCAAAATTAAAAATATAAAATTACACTCTGTATATGTGAAGGCTGTAATAAACCATTCTTAAGATGGACTAGACACCACTTGTTTTCCTAGAAATGTATCTTTGATTGATTTTGTCATAAAAAATGAGTGGTTACTTGGCCCATGCCACCTGTATTTCATTATGTATCATCCACAAGGACTTCAACTTGGTTTACCAAATTAAGTACTGCTGGTATCATGAAACATAAGATAATTCAAACACCTGGCCCTCAGATGTCCAGAAATTGCTAGAGCTGATATTCTTAGAGCAATAAGTGTAGTCTTCCTTCAACTATATATAATAAACAAGAATAAAAGTATGGATTTTAAATCTGTCATCCAGATTTAAGAAATATTTAATATAAGTTCTCTTAAGATTTCAGGGTTTGTGAAGGCAAGAAAAAAAAACCCTTAAAAACTGAAAGTCAAATACATGTAGAATGGAGACAGTAACGAACATTTTTTTTTTATTACCCCCATTTTTAACTATTTTTTAACCTTGAAGGAAATGTAGACCTAATCTTAATTATGTCGTCATCTTTGTGTAGAATATAGACGATCATGGCTCTCTACAATTTCTTGTCCTTTATCACTCTTAATAAACTTCCCTTTTTTTTTTTTTTTTTTACCTCTCCTAAACCTTGCTCAGTTATCCATTTACTCAAACTTGCAAGGTAAGTTATGCATTGTTTTCTTTTATCTCTCTTGTGAGTATTAACTTTTCCAAGCCACCTTTCTTCATTATGTATCCTAGAAATTTCAAGTGTCACTTCCTGCTAAGTGTCTTTGTGTTTCTATTTTCTTTAAAATTTCATTGCTCTGATGTTTGGTTCATGGTATTCTCAGCATCCTTCTGCAGAATCATATTTCTTCTGTGTCAAGTCTCTTCATCTGTGAGGAGATTGTCCAGCATTCACTGCCATATAGGTGGACTGATATTACGTAACATTTCATTAGGCTTTTCTTTGTTTTGTGTGAAATTTTTCTGTTTCTTAATACTTTGCTTACCTTTTGGAATGCATCTTTGGCTATCCCAATTTAGTGCCACACTTTCTCTCCTCTGTTAAAATATTTATCAGATATTTAAATAATTTATCCCCAACTGTTCACTTCAGTATGTATATTTTTTGCTATCTAATAAGTTATTCAGAGACAAAGTATTTTTATTTGCAATTTTTGAAGGCTTTTAATTTTTTGATAATTTTTTTTATTGTTTCTTTCGTTTTTTTTAACTGTTTCTTGTTTTTGAATTATTATATTGTCTTTCAAATGATTTTTCTTTGATTTTTTATTTTTTTATTTTTATTTTTATTTTTTTTTTTTTCCTTATTTTTGAATTTAAACTGATTTTTTTAAAAAAATCTGTTTTTATTCATTTTCAAATTAAACATATCTTAATCCATAAAAGGTCAGCTCCAAAGATATACTGGTTTAAATTTCATTCAAAGCTGTTTTTTCATGCAACTTACTTTTAACAGTTCAAGAGTGTTCCATCCAGGGAATTCATGATAAAAAAAGGCAGTAATAATAATATGAAGACAAATTAGCCAAAAATTATAAAAATGGTGCCAACATTGTTTGCATTATTTTTTTAAACATTAAATGACATCAGCTAGATCTTCAGACTATATCTTAAGACTATTACAAATTTTA